CTTTTAACATTATTAAATGATACTAAATCTAGAATATTTTGTTGCTTTCGCAAAAAAGTAAGAATTTAGCAAAGTATTAAATTGTATTTCATACCGTTCACAAATAAAAGTTCATATTTTGCATTATATAAACATTCTAAACCAATTATAGGTTGAATATTCTTTTTCCTCGATTTTCTTCGTCTATATCTAATTCTCCCCTTTTTTTGCACAAAATAAAGCTGGTACGTACATTGTAGATAAAAAAGTTACCGCAGTAAAATGATAAATAAATGATGCTGACGAATGGATAACAAGCTATGCCTCATTACGTAAATCAAAGCCCTGATGATCCTATTACTTTACAAGTGAATGTTTATGATATTAAAGATCTAAATACCTCAATAACATCTTTTCAAGTCGGAAAAGCTTATTTTAATCGTGATAACAATCATGAAATAAATTGGTCACTTGCTATTTCCAATCCTATTTAGAATTATGCGAACAATCATACATAAACAATGATAGATTGATTGCTATATCATAATTCGGTCTGATTCCATCAAATAAAAAGGAGAAATGTATGCCAGAGCATCAATAGGACGTTGAAAAAGAAAATTTTTGGGAAAAACTTGGATGATTTCTCTTAGATATAAACAATAATTAGGCATGCTATTGGAAAAATTGTAGGAGTTGTTAAATTAAAAATTACACTCTTTACGAAGATAACGATAACGATACAATAATTGTGATAGTAAATGCATCAGGCTTATTTAAAACAATATTTTCATGTTGGTATAATTTAATTCATAGCATAGAAGAATCCTACCTTCTTAAACATTTATTGAGCGATTTAAGTCGTTTAGATAAAAGTTAAACTTATTGCAATTTACTACACACTAGTATAATCAAAAATCATTTATTGGTTTATTCTTACAAAAATAAACATCAAATTATTGAAATGCACTCTCTCAAAACGGGGTAGTATGGAAATGTTATTCAAGAAACGTGAGTTATTTTATGGAAAATGGATTATAAATTATTACAAAGAGATTACTGGAAACTTCTGTGATGCAACGAATTTTATCAATTAATTTCATTGAAGGTTATAGTAATTGTTTATAATATACGAAGAGCTATGTGATTGTGGCATTAACGAAACAAAAATTGTCAAATCATTTATTATTTGAGATTTGTTTGCTACTTCATGCAATGCTATTAGAAAGGTCGAATTTACAAGTGATCTGAAGTCACAATTAGATATCGATCCAATTTACCATTTGTTGAATTTTAACGGCAATATCTTGGGAAAAAAAATGATAAACCTTTTCTTTGGGTATTACAACATCCCAGGATCAGAAAAAATTTGTATCCAATTCCTGATGATAAAAAAAATTAATCTTGTAAATCGTAAGAATGACTTTTATAATATTGCATATAATGTAGATAGTGACATAATTGATATTGACTCAGATAATAATAAAGTCATGATTAAAAAATATCGAACCCATGGTATAATAATAAGCATTATCAACGAACGTCTATATCTGGATAATGCAGGACATATACAACTCATAATCGGACCTGATACTATCCAAGTTTGGCGTCTTAAACGATTTCAACAACTAATTGGCGTCATTTCCTTGAATATGCTTGCGTAGATGATAAAATTGGTCTAGCAAATGAAAAATTAAAGGTTAAAGCTCGTGATTTTTTGTTGGATTTAACAACCAAACAAGGTATTTTCAGAATTTGCTAGCCGAATAATGTAACATTTTGGAAAGAGCTTGTAGATTTTTAAGCTTTATAATCAACAAAAAACATGAGATCAAGGGCAATAGTAACCTAAATAAATACCAAGAATTAATAGAATCGACTTAAACCAAATCTATCGATTCATAAAGCACCATGGAATTTGGAGTTTTACTGATATTCGTTATGAAATAATGATTGATCTTATAAAAGCTCAACAATATTCCCTGATTAAATTAATACTTAACGAAAGTATTGATGGAAAAAATTGTAACCTACATTTGCCTAGACGATATAAATGGAATATGAAATCGAAAAAGATGACAGAGTTGGAATTTGCAATCACTGGTCCACGCAACCAAGACTGTTGGGTATTTATTGGAATATTACGCGACAACGTGTATTATGATATGAATTCTGGATGGTTATTTACTGGCACTAAGTCTATTCCATTATTGTATGATAATAAATTGAGTAAGTGCAATACGTTTCACAAATTCTTGTTATAAAATTATTTTAATTTGTTTATTCATTTTTTTGTAGACGGATTTGTTCAAAGCTTATTTAAGAAACCATGTTTTGAGCATCGGAAGCCGACACAAGTCCATTAAACATGAGTCAGTATTGACGAACAATAGTAAATCAGGTTGATCAACTAGATGTTAAACCATTAGATGTTAAACCACAGCTCACTCAAATACCAAAACATTCTCTTTGGACGCGTTTCAAAGAAAAAAATCTTTTCATATGTATAATGTCAATCAAAATTTTCTTTTTAAGATAATAACAATATATGGGGGTGAGTCAGTAGAAACGCACCAAATCTTTTTAATAATTTTTTTTTTGAATCCTTAAAAAAAAATAACTCAACAAAAGTTTAATTAAATTTAAGTTATTGTTGAGTTATTTTTGTTCAAAGATTTAAAAAAATTTACTTAAAAAAAATTTGGTGCGTTTCTACTGACTCACCCCATATTTAGTAACACTAATAAGTTACTTTATATTAATTTATAAACTGGAATACTACAGTAAATTCGATGATACTTAACAACTTAACAATTGAAAATAATTATTCTCGATAATTTGTGACAATCCTATGGAAATTCATAAAGATCACGATTTACCCAAGAGGCTGTATAGTTTTTCAAAAGGATTATTCTCCTTTTTTACGTGTAATTGATAATGAAGATAACTCCAAAGTATATAATTGTCCATAAATAATCGCGGCAACAAGTCTCAAATGGATAAACGACATTCGTGATGTATCTCATCTTTGTAATCTCACTTGGAGTTAGCGCTGTAGACTATATAATAGCAAATAGCGCAGTATTTGTGTCACATAAGGATACAATTTGTTTGTCGCCGATATAATTTCTCTTTATATTGGTTATTTACCTATTTATGTCAGAAATGAAACAATTAAAGAGAGAAACATTTGGTAGATATGCAAATATTTATAATTTCTTTGATTTGGTCTCTGTCATACTGCCAATTAGTATCGTTATTTTGAGAATATTAAAATACAACAAAACAATGATTCAAGATGGCACATTTCAGATCGCTACAATGTTGATAATGTATTTCAATTGGTAATTTTCTATCATAAATTATTGTATGTTAAATATTATACGTATTTATCTGGATAAATTATTAACTAATTGTATCTTTTTATCTTTAATAATTATTGTTGTTAAGATACTTTAAAGCTCCAGGGCACTATATTTATATCATCACTAATATTTTGAATAAAATATGGTCATTCTTTGCATTTATGTTAATAGTAATTTTTGGATTTGGGCATAATATGTAAGTTAAAATAAGCGAATATATGAATATAATTATATAATCTTTTATTCTGTTAATGATAATTTACATTATCAATCATTACGCATGTACGTATCAATATTTTAGGTATATCTTGTTAGGCAATCCAACAGTTGATCCTGTAAAATCCCAATTTTCAATTGACACCTATTCAATTAAAAATGCCATAAATTCTTCACAAAACCTTTAGCCTAGTATTGTGATCCAACATAATGTAGATCCAACATATTCTTCCAATTATTTTTCAACCTTTGTTATGCAGTTGAGGTGGTATTTTTTGGACTAATGGAAGATGGGATCAACTTAGTAATTGGAAAACAAATTTATCAAATTTTACGAAATGCACTAATTAGGTTATTAAAGGCTTATTCATATAATTTATGCAGTGGTATATTAACGCAAATTGATATGGCAGGTCAAACGCTGCACGAAGGTATAGGGCTGAAATGATTTGTGATTATGAAACTTTAGAAAAATCATTAGGCAGTTTCATTGCGAACAGAGATATTATTGATAAATGGTCAAATGAAAATAAAGTTTACCAACAAAAATGTTAGTCATCCCGTGCAGAAAATGGTGACGATTTATTCAGTGATGATAGTGATAATGATAGTGACAGTAACAGTGAATGATTGTTATAACAATGATGACGATGATGAAAATGGTATTAGCTTAAATGATAAAAGTTCTGACATTGGAACAAGAGATATTTCAGCTGGTTCAAGCGATTCTGGTGGGTCTCTTAAGATGAACGGCAGTCATTTTCACTTGAAAAAAATTATAAATCAAAATCTACAACTATACTTGAAACTCTTGACATTAATAGACAAAATTTGAAAATTTCGTCATCAATGAATTCTATTCAAAAGAAAGTAGCAATGAGAATTTACCATCAATTAACGCTAATTATTATGATGATATGCTTTCTTTGTCGCGTTCAAATTCACAATTACCTATTCTTATCGATCAAAATCCTACAACTAATCTTGATATGAGTGAACAATTTGAAGAAATTAGTAAACGACTTAAAAATAGAATGGGTAGTAAAGATAGAAATAAAGATAAAGAGTTTGAAAACAGATTTAAGGCAATGGAACTGAATGTTAACACTATCCTATCTAAGCTTAACGAGTTATCCATTTGAAAATATTATTCATTGTATAATTAGCATGTATTTTTCTTGGTTATATTTATTATAAGAATAAAAAATTAATTTTTTTATGCGTGGCATAGTTACATAAACCAGGAATTAATGTGCTCTCAAAATAGATTTTCAATCAAACCTCAAGTCGAATTTCAGGTTGAGAATTGGAAATTGGTTAATTATTTCTCTAGCCAGAGTATAGAATGTATAGAATGTGATTTTGAAATATACATTGCGACACCCTTTTTACGTCTAATTAATTTTCTCATGGAAAAATGAGGTATATGTGATTCGTAATTCCATATTTCTGCGTAATAACACTCGCATGTGCGTTAATTGAATATCTCGAATACGCCAAGAAAATCGGTAATTTATAATATTATGTATCCGATAAGTCTCACATCATTATTAATTCAATTGTGATGTGAAAACTTAAATTACTGGTTTATCTTGACAAACGCATCACATATGAGAATTTCAGGTAGTTTCTTTGAGTAATTCAAGCAATTTTGCAGAAGCCTAAGGATTTTAGCTACTGTATCTTCCTGATAGAGCTACAATACAATTTATACTTACAAAAGATTTAGAGGTTGCTTGGGAAGGTGTCAAATTAATATTTATCTGTCATAGATAAAGAAGTAATTTTAAAATGCCTCTTTATATACAATAGTCTTCCAATATCGACTAAATATATTTAAACCCAAATTTTGGTGTCGTCACATATTATATTCGTTTTCGCCTTCGCTATTTCCTCAGAGTTTATCGCATATTCTTCTATCAAGTCACCAAACAACTTTATGGAATTTTCATAAAGTTTGGCAAAAATTGCGACAAGCATTTCCCAAAGTTAAATCATCAGAACTGCTAGATGGAACTGACATAACGCAGTCAATTTTAACTGAAAGTCAGAATGTCATGGAAGACATTTTATTTTAAATGCCATTTGTCTACTGATTGTCTGAAGTGTAGTGAGGGAAAACTATATACGTATCGTTATATGTTTGATAAAAATCCTTTCCATATTCATTAAAAAGGGAAAGTAATGCTTTACGGGTAGCAAAATGCCAATCGAAAACTTTGCACATGAACATACATAACCGAATTCAGAGTAGGTAAGTACAAATCTTTATGATCTTAATATTAACTAAATATTTTAAAAGCAAATTTCAAATTCCTTACTAAAAAAAAAAAACGCTAGTTTAGATAAAGAACTACAAAATCTCAAATCATTGCCAAGATTTCTTTGAAATTATAATAAATGACGAAATTAATTCTAATTTCATGGTTATTTAATCGAATTAACATAACTTTAATAAGTCCGTTGCATCTTTACCATATTTGCAAAACATCTCATCATTAATTAACTACTTTGAGTAGTTGGACGTTGATTTGGATCAGGATACCAGCATTCTAAAAGGTAAATATAAAAAAAAGGGTTCATCTATAGTATAACGTGTACTAATACACTCGATGATCACATCAAATATCACATTATAAATAAGGTTATAGA